TCGGTATTGATATCGGTATCGGCCGATATTGGTCATTTTTTAGAATATTGGTATCAGTCTGATATGTAAAACTGGGCTGATATTACCATCCGATATTGATTTCCCACTTTTTATCTTTGTGTTTGTGTTTTGGAGGGGAGATAGTTGGTTGAGCAGCATCTGTTTGATCATGATAGTGAWATTGATGCTGCACAGCCAGGAATAACTGAAGTAGAGCCATGTCAGAGGTCTGGTTSTTTATTTATGTATCAAAAAGACCCAAGTGTGTGCATATATGTATAATATAATTTGTGTGTTTGTGTAATATTGGTAAATATCGGTTATCGGCCATAACAGCAATAATTATAGAGGATATCGATATCGGCTGAAATTTTCCTATTGGTGCATCCCTAATTAAATCCAGGGTTTTTATTACATTTTACACCTCATCCCAACGTGTTCAGAATTAGAGTTGCAGTTTTGCTCTTTTACTCACCGCCTGCACCGCTTCTTGTTTTTCTAGTGTCCATAGACGGCGTGGAGTGGAACGACGTCAAGTTTTTCCAGCTGGCAGCGCAGTGGCCCACTCACGTCAAATACCTACCTGTTGGACTTTTCGGCTACAACAAGACCCCGTCGTAGGACTGAGCTTTTTACTCGGACCCCCCACACCCACCGTGACCCGTCGGACTCAGCACACAGATCGACACCTGCAGAGCCAGTCAGGCAGCCGGACCGTTTCCTTCACCTAACTCCAGCCACATCCGTCTTCTTTCTCCTTAGGGAGAAGGGGGGTCCAGCACTCCTACTAGTCACTTTAATGCTCCCTGTTGTGTGTGTATGTGTGTGTTTTTGTGCGTGCAATAAGTATGCATGCACACGTGAATGTACAGTGTGTGTGTTTATGATGAAAATCACAGCACAAGTTTATCAGCTAACTGCCGTTTTATGTTTCTGTTCTAAGGAATGCGACCGCATGCAACCAGATTCAAGCCCTGAGCAACTCCGATAAACTCCGTTCAGAGACCCCATCCACAGAACTACAACACACACACACACACGCACACTGATGTGCCAGAGACAATAACTTCAAAATAAAAAATAGAAAAAAAATACGCCACAGGACTTCAGTTAGCATGAGATTGCAGTCGACAAGAAAAAAACAGCTGGCTTTGAAGAAATGCCTGCAGAACAGCTCCTATTCAAAACTCTCACTCTGATGTACTTCTTTATTTCAAGGGCTTCCATTCTGTTTAAAATAGCTTTTTTTCCCTGTAACAAAATAAATCATTTGGATGTCTAATGCCAAACATATATATATATGAAAGGGGAAGTGTTTTTTTTTTAGAATTGTGCTCTTGTGAAAAGCAGTAAAACCTTCCCTGTTTTTAAGGTGTTTGTGATGCAAACTGTGTTAAAGTCAGAAAACTAACGTCCCAGTTGAAACTCTCAATGTGCAGTTTTTCCTCTTGTTAGCTATGCACGTCTGAACACACGTGGACCCATTTTGGCTGATTTTGCAGCTAGTAAAACATATAGTTTAAACCTTTTTCGATTATGCAAAAAAAAAACAACTCCCAACATGCATGTCCAAGCAGCGCGAAACCTAACATCATTGAACTTTATTTTTATTTTTCTCGTCGTAACTTTACTGTAAAAAAAATTAGCCAGGAAAGGAGAAAAAAAGCACAACGTTGCCAGTTTTCATCCATGTGTCTGAAAATGAGCAGCTTTATTTTCAGTGACGATTTCAAATCTTTTCTCCTCAAAAAACAAACAAACAATAAATAAATAAATAAATCCCAATATTTTCTTTTTGAACAACAAAAATCAATGAATTTATTTAGCTGCAGATCTGCGACGTGCTTTTTCTAGCGTGTTGTGAAGTGATCAGTGAGTGCACGTAAGAGTGTGTGTATGTGAGTAACGTGGTTTAAAACAAAAAACGTAAAAATTTCCGATAAATAGTTTTTATATGATGTAACGGAGGATGTGTGTTGGCACTGTGTATTGATGATGTCATCATCAGTGGTTGTAGATGAACACGAGATAAACTCGATCAGAAAAAAAAAGTCTCCGGCGCCACTCTAAATCATGTCGCCTTCATCGTAACGCTCGCCATCACCACTTAAGTATTGCAAATACTGTATATATATATTTTTTAATAGTATTAATGCAAAATTTCTTTATTTAAATAGTCTTTTATTTTTTTTTAAAAGACGACTTCGTTAGATAGCTTTATTTTGATTTTGTTTTGTTTTTCTTCTTGTGTTGATGTTACAGTGTTAGCAGCACCCGGGGGTTCACATGGAAAGCTTTCGTAGCTTCTGGCATTTGTTCGTTCCTCTTCCTGGTCGACGGTCACCGCTGTGCAAACACTCACGTCGGTCCCTGACTGATATATTTTTTTAAAAGAAAATTCTACATATTTGAATGTACGTTGTTTCGTTTACATGTGCCGTTTACTGAATTTWAAAGAGATAATCTGGTCATTTTTGCCAGGATGTTCTCTTAGTTACAAATAGTTAGCACTGTATCCGTCAAAGCATGGAGAAAGAGGCAAAAGGCCTCCTGACAACCAGGCTAACAGCTAGCCCCTGAAAAGCGTTAGCTGTTAGCCTTTAGCTGGATTTCTGCCTGTTTCTCCTCACACATGCCTTCAAAATGACCAAACTATCCCTTTAACAAATGCAGTGTTCCTCTGGAGAGGATTTCAAGAAGGTGTTGAACTCTTGTTGTTTTAATTTTCCAAGCTTTTGTCGGGGTTGGCACGGCTGCCTTTTTGAAAGCTGCAGTTTTTTGTTTTAACTGCTAAAGGGCTTAAAGGACTGACTGAATGCTTCTTTCAGTGGATGGAGTTTAGTTTCTGCTGAATATCAGTTTTTGACAGACTGCTAGGATTTAGCAGAGATTGTGTATTGTCACTGTCAGGCAGAACCCTTGTTTGTTGTTTTCATGTTTTTGCATAAATCAACTCCATCGGCCACGCCGTTTGTGGTTTTATAGACGACTAATGAAGGAGGAAGAGCAGGGGACCACATGGAGTCCAAGATACAAACTTTCTGCCTGACAGTAACAATATAATATGGGGAAATTATAATATGCTGATATTTTGTTGAAAATCATGATTATAAAATCAGATTTAATAATCCCACATCTTCCTGCCCTCACAACACAACACATCTGTGTTTCATCATTTCCTCTTTCCTAATAATCAGCTGTGGGTCCATTCAGTGGCAGAATAAATGACAGGCATGCAGTTTATTGAAGTTTTTGTATCGCAGCAATAAATTCACAATGAACTGCGCAACCCTGATGCTAACATTAAGGTTTCATTCCAAAATGAATTACATTTTGAAGTACAGAGAAAGTTTCTGTGTTTGTTGTGAAAGTAGCAACAAATGAAATTTTTTAGTTCTTCTTTCCCATATTTCAACTCATTAGAATGAATTAATCATTTATAGTGGCGCGTTCTTGTATTTACTGTAAACCCACCCAGATCTGCTGAGAATGTTGGCTACTTTAAGCTTCTTGTTTTAGTCAAAATGAGTCAGCAACTTTAATTTAATTTACTCTGTAGTTTCACTTTTTATACCATATTGTTGCAAATTAATTAAAAGTTGGAAAGCTGAGAGAGATTCTGCACAATCATTATATTGCTTTATAGATGTCACATGCAAAACATATTTAGTCTTTTTCAACCAAGGTTACAGTTAATAATAATAATAATAATAATGTCATTGTGGCGCTCACCTTGTTTCTGCTGCCCCCTAGTGGCCACTAAATGCAAGTGCCACAACTTTTAAGCTGATTGTTCCAGTCAGCTGTCATCACTGAAATGGGGCAACCCAAATTTAAATAGCAATATATTACCAAACAGCCTTTTGCCAAKCACATTTTCTAATTTCCCCAAGTAAGGTTTGCTGGGAAACGATTCAGAAACTTAGGGAAACATTCAAAATGTTTCCACTTGGAATGAAACCTTTAACATTTTTACTTCACTAGTAGCTTCGGAACATCAGTGGTCTAAAGTCCAGTGTGAGAAGCAATCTTGAATTATTCACGAAGTGGATCTTAGTTGTTTTTAGGTGATTGAAATGATGTATTTGTTTGTCATTTGCTGATTTTTTTTTCATTAGAAGGAAGCTCAATAGCTTTCTCAATACATCAAACTCAAATAATTTGTCTGAAATACAGTAGAGAGTCTCTGCTAACATAAAAAATACTTACAACTGTTAWTTTATTTTGTGCTGCCAACTTTCTGACAAAAAAAGGCAATCATTAAAAGTGTTCAAATGTCATCATTTCAATAAGAAACGATTTACCCCAAAGTCTGTTTCCTATGAGATACTGGTTCTGTGTGTAAGTCTTGATCTCGCTGCGGTGTGTGTGTGTGTGTGTGTGTGTGTGTGTGTGTGTGTGTGTGTGTGTGTG